CCGCAAGCAGCTAGTGCGCTGCCTCGCTGAATTCGATCCCCCTTGCGGAAATGGTAGCTTGACACCTTAGGAACCTCGAGAACCAGTCATTCTGGACGCCAAAGGTTAAAAGGGTGGCGGCATTGATTTAGAGGCTGCAGGCTAAATTGTGGTGAGTGTGGCAATTGGACGGTAGTTCCGATCCCATGCATACTGCGTTTAGATCGAGGCTGGGCATTTTGGAAGGAAGGCCGTCTGCTATAAATGTAACTTGACCTCGACGCCGTAGTATATGGTGGTTGCACTAGGGGAGGATTCAACCGCCCAGCAGCAAAATGGCAGGGATTTAGTAGTAATGTGAGTTTGCTAATTGGACATAAACCAGTTGAGTCCAGCAGATGAGGCTTCAAACAGCGAATAAGCGTGGCACTAGCATGTGTTCTTCGTGTTCAGACACCCGTGCCAGGAAAGGCGCCAGCCTTGCTGAGTACGACTATGCCTCGGTCGCGAGCGATATAGCCTTTCATCATGTTCTGTGGAAAGGAAACGAACCAGAGACTCCGGGTTAGCATTTTCCTTTCTAGTCGGTGATGGTGTGCGGGACTTTTGAGAGTTGAGTCACACGCATCATGCTGTGCCAGGAATCAGGCTAATCACCAAGGCAACCGTGGCGTTGGGCAGCATCTTACACTGAATGCGCCTTTTGTGATAGGAGGATGGAAGCGAAGGGGGATTGGCAAAAGAACATCAAATAGGCAACACAACGCACCTTGTAAATCATGTTGGCCAAGAAACACTCGACCTCATCCCTCTCGATCAATACATCCGTGGCGCCCTTATAACTCACGCGCATTCCAGCCTCAAACTCTTCGATGCGGATCCTCGTTCGGCGAATTTTGCCTGTCACTTCTCCAGTCGTTGCATCCTTGGTTTCTTCCCAGCCTGCAGCTAAGAAGACCTTCCGGAATAGGTTGCGCAGGCAGAGGTTGCGGGTGCGCTCAAGAGTGAGATAAATGCGGCGCCTGACTAGTTCGGATTCAGCTGCAGAAAGAGCATCGTCGAAGGCGGCGAGTGCACCGGCGCGAATGGCGATGATTAATGGTGTGAAGATCTTTGACAGGGTTGGATGAGGAGTCAACAGGGCATTGGTGGGCAGTTGATGGTGGTTGATGATGTGTGCAGGGACTAGGTAAGTCAGGATCTGTTCTCGATTCTTCAGGGAGTCCTTGTGACAGAGATGCAATGCCTCTGTCAGATTCTGCTCCGCATCAGTGTAGTTTTCCTGCAAGAACTCAATGACTCCGCGGTAGTATTTGAACGTGCATTGGTGAGATTTCGGAAATCGCCCTAGATTGGGTATATCATCTGCTGCGGCTTCTAAAGCTCGAATGACATTTTTGGTAAGCGAGACCGAATTGAGTTTGAAATATGTCTTGAAGAGTAAGTTGGTGGTGCTGTAAATGCCCCATCTGCGTGACTCATTCTCCTCAGCTCGGTCGCTCAAGCATATCGTGAACATGCGATTGATAGTCCATGCGGCCTGTTCCAACTTCTCGTTCTTGTTCGTGTCGCCCATGATGTCGTCTGAGAAGCCACTCGCGAAGACGTCTCCGTTTCCCTCTTTCGCCTTGTTCTCGCTGTCTGCTCTCATCGCTATCATGCGGAGATACTTTCCGGCAACGCTGAGGCAGGGAACAGTCCAGGCCTGGAATCCAAAGTTGGTGTACCCTCTAACCAGGTGATTGCACAACTCTCTGTACGAATCAAACGCCTTGGACCAGTCGCCCATGCCAGTACCTTGCCGGAGCGCCACAAGTTCTTTGACACATTTCCATAGAGCGACAAAGATGTCGACCCAAGCATTAGCCTCGGCTTTGGGCAGTTTTGCAGCATTGCGATCCTGAATAATATGATAACGCACATCTGCCGAGACCGTCTGATAATTTGATAGCTGCGCGAATGACTCGAGGCGACGGGGGTCGCGTTCTGTATCGATGGGGGCCAGACAGGATGCAAGGAGCGGACCATGCCCTACCCGCTGGGATTCATGGAAATCCGCAAAGATGCTCCCCATTAGCCCGACTTGTGGTGAAATTGTCAGGCACACGATGAACAATTTGTACGAGGTAGAAAGCAAGTTGTTTCGGCTCCTCGACTTACAAAGCAAGTCCGATCGACCAATCACCAAACCAACTTAGAAAGAGCGCCAAGGAAAACGTAACTCTTGGCACACGAACCTAGATGGAAACTTGAAATCCGAAAGCCTCGCTGCTGCACTTTCTCAGCGATCACAGCATATCGACGACGAGCCACGTTTGAGGTCGATCAAATACAGTCAAGGTATGTAAGAGTCTATCTATTCAGGTCTAGAGACTAATTACGCGCAGATGGGTAAGTCTCCGCAATGCAATTCTTTCACCTACGAGCTACATTTCGTCGATTCGAAAAGCGCCCGCGAGGGAATTTTGATTGAGTGTTTTTGCAAAAAGGATTTAGAGGACAATGATGTAGAGGGCTTTGAAGAGGTGCATACATGGAAGTAATGACGAGACTGGTTGAAGTTGCCAAAAAAACACTGTCGAAAGAGAAGGAAGATCCTCCTCCGTCTTGAGATTTGGACATCAATGATTACCAACACTCATACCAACATCCCCACATTCAAAAGAAAAGCAAACTGACGGATACAATGTCCCGTGCAGGTCGCCTTCAGGAATACCAGGTCATCGGCCGGTCGTTGCCCACCGATGCGAACCCGACGCCTAAACTGTACCGTATGCGGATCTTCGCACCCAACACCGTGGTGGCCAAGTCGCGCTTTTGGTACTTCTTGTCGAAGCTGCGTAAGCTCAAGAAATCCACCGGCGAGGTCGTGTCCCTCAACGTCATCCACGAGAAGCGGCCCTTGAAGGTCAAGAACTTTGGCATCTGGATCCGATACGATTCACGATCCGGAACCCACAACATGTACAAGGAATACCGAGAGATGAGCCGCACTGAAGCCGTCGAGGCGCTGTACCAGGACATGGCTGCCAGACATCGTGCCCGATTCAGGAGCATTCATGTACGTCCCCTTCTTCTCCTCCACAGTTTCCCCGTTTGGTCTTGAATATCTCAAAATTTCTCGACACCGCCCCATTGTTTCTGTTCCTCGGAAGAAATTATCAGTTTTGCTAACGATGTGCGCCGCTCTCAGATCCTCAAAGTCGTCGAAATCGCCAACCCTAGCGACGTCAAGCGACCATACATCAAGCAGCTGATCACGCGCAACCTCAAATTCCCGCTCCCGCACCGCAGCAGCCGTCAAAAGAAGCTCTTCACCTCTAAGAGACCTTCGACATTTGCTTAAGAACGACGTTTCCTTGCAAGCCCCCCAAGCGATTGCGAGCGTGACATGGTATTTTTGCGAAACCGAAGGGAGGGGGAAGGTTCACGGTCTAGATTTGCTGTTGCCTGTCCGTGGCGTAGAGAAAACTGAGTGATCAGGTCGGGGAAAGAGGGAGCAGACTGTTCTTGTTCGAGCTATGCATCCAAGGAAGCGACTGGACGGAATGGGATGGGGCCATGCTCGAACGACAACGATGACGATGATGGAGATGGAGACACGGAGCCTGAGCGAGGGGCCTGGGCCTGGTTCATTATTCACTGCATTGCCTGGGTGACCGCGACTTCTGACAAGCCAAAAACAAAGAAAAGAAATGTAAAAGGACATGAATGATCGATCAAATCAATCAATTCGGTCGATTCGGTCGGTCGCTCAGTGTCAGATGAGATATCCCCATGTCCATATACTCTTGCTCATGGCCATTCCCGTACTCATCCATACGACTTGGCCCCCAGTGGCGGGAGTGCGTGCAAGCTGTTCTCCTGTGTAGTTGCGCAGACAACGAGAGGCTGCTGCTGCTACTACTATTACTACTACTCCTACTCCTATTCTTTCTCCTATTATGACAACGGGCGCCCTGTTCGTGAGCCCCGTAGTGCCATTTACCTACGGAATTAACACAACAAAACTCCAAGATCAGGCACCCCAAAGGGGGAAAGAAGCAAAATCCAAGCAAAGGGAACATGTTTAGATTGCCTGGCGGACACAAACCAATTACCTAGTACTAAATACCTAACAAGCGAACCAACGGCCTGTGTAGATAACCGACTATGTAACTACTAGTACCATATAATTTGCGCAGCTCCAAAGAGCCCTCTCTTCGTTCCTGTCCTTGTAGCTGACGGCCTGATTCCTTGCCCTGTTTCCTCATAGTCGTAGTCGGAGACGTCTTTTTTCGGTTCTCGTTATCCTGGTTTTGGATTCCCCCTCTCATTCACATTCTCTTTTGTTGCGGTGTTTTGGCCCGGAGATCGAGCAGCCTCGGAGGTGGGTGTTTGGAGGCTTGGGGTCTTGCTCGTTATCGTATACGCCAGGTCGACAGGATATAGACTCGGGCCCTCGCCTTCCAGGAGTGGGATTGGAGCCATCTGCTGACCCAACGAACGAGGTGTCTTCTGTCCCCAATGGATCGTGTGTGAATCTTCCATCGTCGTGAGTCGGGGGAGGGGGGCAGTAACAACTCTCCACAGAATGGACGATCCTTTGGGCTGCTCGTCGAACTACCACGGTAGGTGTCGTATCTTCATTTTGGCGTATTCGTGCCTCATCTCAGCTCGAAGAGGCAGAGATTCGATGTCGAGGGGAACAGTGGAGAGAAGTCGTTTATCATCCAGAGGTCATGTTATTATTGTACAATGTACATAGCTAAAATGTTTGTCGCACTCGATATTAGAACCGCGAGCTGGAAAGTTCTTGCTGGGATTATGTGTGCAACTCGTAGCACATCAGCGCAAACCGAACCGCTTGTAAGCCGTGACGGTATGTGATATTGGTATCCACCGCACTGTTCTTTGTTCTGCTGCTCAGGTGCTCCAAGCGCAGCGAGTGTTCTTGACCGTGCCATATCCTCAAAGTGCGATACCATCGGGTGTCGGAGCAGAAAGACTTGGATATTCTCCCAGCACATGGCGGTCGCGGGTTATTGTTCGTTACGGCGAGGTGCTCTGGCCGTGATGATATGAATTTGGTTGTAGAAATGGACATTGGTATCAGCAGCCTGGGCCAGTGCTTCGTTGCAAAGGCGTCTAACGTGATCAGGAGGCCAATTGGAAAACTTGCACAGAGGAGCAAGGCTGATGGCTTCGAGGCCGTAGGCACCTTGTTCGTAGGCACCTCCGCCGTGGGGACCTGCGCCGTTCCCATCTGGACCCATCATCAATTGCCACCATCCTGACATGCGACGCATGTAGTCGTTCTCGTTTTGGCCCCAGTTATTCAACGGAATATGGAATACGACATGTCTAACATCCCGGAACCCGACGCGGTTCAATGTCTCGTCCACTGTCGGGTCCCAGTGAAGACGGCGACCGGCTGCCTCGTACGTAGCCTTGATGTAGAGTTCCCACCACTCCGTCAGCTTCCCCTGCTGTAGCGTGCCATCGTCACATCGAGGCTCAAAGTCGAACTCGACCCATTCGAAGTAACCACCGGGAACGAGGTGGGCAAAAATCTTGTGAAATAGAGACTCCCAGTTCGAAACACTGCCCAACCCCATCTGAAGGTGGATCAGGTCCCATGACGCCTCCCCCAAAGCCCATGGTCCTTCGTAATCCCAAGGGACGGTATAGTCGACCGAGTCACTCGGATTTGGCGGGCCCTGAAACTGTATGTCGACGCCTCTGAACTCAGCCTCCTTGAAGTCCTTCGACATGTCTATTAACCAGATGCCGGTGCCGCAACCCAAGTCGAGGACCCGAGGCCGACGTGGTCGCCCGTCCCATCCGTCTGTTTGGATTTTGAGAATTTCATGCGGGACTTCCGTAATTCGTCGGCCCTTGGGTCTGAGGACCTTGAGCATTGTGTGCACAATATCCATCCTTCTCTTTTCTGCTTCGTCGTGGGGAAACAAATATTGTCCACTGGAAACCAAAACTTGTGTCAGGCGTTTATACGAGGAAGGAGTCGGGAATACTCACAGTCTGTAGGAGCCATATTCTCGACCGTACCGTTGAACCCTTGTCCTCCAAGGAGGAAGTTCGGGAGCCATTGATCCAGTTGTGGAGGAGCGTGAGTGGATTTCGAAGTTTGGAGGGACGAAGAAGTTGGGTGCTTGGGATTGCCCGTCCCCCATTCTTCTTTACTGGAATATACCTCAATGAGTTCGGGCGAAACGGACCAAAAAGGGACCGGCACAACTTTTGCGACTCAAAGTTCGTGAAACCGACGACGAGGCGTAACGCTCCCTTGGGCCCGGGTCTGAAGATGAAGCGGCTAGGTTGAGGGAGAGGGAGGAGTTGCACAACCACTCCCAGAAAACCAGCTGAACTCGATTAGACCGGGCCAGAAAAGAGGGATCGTGTCACCCAGCATCAAGGATGTTTTTGGGTCGCTGTCTGTAGCTAATTCGCGTCTGAGATGTCCGGCGCACGAAAGAAGCGCCTCGTAACAAAGGGACTGATGGAGAGAACAGACAGACGGATGGAGCGAAGAAAGCCTCAGGTAGTCATTTAATCCCGGTAAGAGATCCTAGTTAGACGATCAGCGTACGCTACCCTCGTAGGGGCCAGATACGAGGGTGGTGGGTGTGTTGTATTGCGCTGGACTCCTCTCTTGCGCACTAGATTGACCACTTGTCAGTCGAGATTCGATTTGAAGTTTGACGAAGCTGCGGGTCAGAACTTGTACAGTTCGCATTGGAGGGGGTGTGAGAGGGGTGGGTATGGGTATGGGCAAAATCCCACCAGTTCACACGAAGGAGGGCCGATTTCGTCAGATGAAGAGTCGGAGCCCAGCACCAAAGCAGCACGAGCACCCACAAAGAAGGGTAGACATCGGGCATTGGGGTGGAGACTGACCAGGACTGACTCGAGCAGCGGGCAGCAGGATGCGGACAACAGATGGGTGGAGTGATGCACGACAGCTCACGCAGTCGGGGGGAATTCCAGCTGGCGTCCCTTCTCTTCAGGAAGCCACGGCTGGAGGCTCCGAAACTGGGATGTTCGAGCTAGGGGTGGTGGGTGGTGAGGGCTGTTGAGGACGAGTGAGGAAAAGACTCAAGCAGCCAGACTGCATGTGTGAGAAAGGGGGATTGCAGGAAGCAGCCAGCAATGCGATAGCCAGGCATGGAATACCAAGTAGGTCGCGGGTCGTTGCGCGCACTAAGCAGCCCGACTGCCAAGTTGTAAGTACGAGGCACTCTGTAATATTAATAGTAGTAACCGGTGCAAGCAGCCCAAAAGGAGACGGAGGAGAGGGCCTTTCCAAGGACTTGGGGATTACCTAGACAGAGGAGAGTACTCGGTCCCTTAGGGCTAGACAATAGGCATCCCCGCAGTAATTCTTCGCTTTATTATTGTTTGCATGCAGCTGGCAGCTGGGTGTCACCTTAAAATGCCGGTCAAGGCTAATAATACCTAGGTAGGCATTGAACCAGAAGTTGCAAGGTGGGGAACGAGGTACTGGGTAATAATTCTTCGCTAGGGCCTCACTAGGGTTTCCAGATTGCTGGGACCTCATCCTTGTGTGTAATAACTGAGAGTCGGCAGCGCCGATGACTGGCAAGACGAGGGGGCCTCGGGGGAGGCTGTCTTCCAGCACGAGCCGAAGCGCCGCAACTAACTGCATGCCGCAGGTAGCACCAGTGTGAGGGGGGTGCACGAGGGGGCTCCGTGGACATGGTTGGCACCACTTGGACCACCCATTGAGGGCACCGCAGAGTGGCCCGGCGTCCAGCACAGCGGCCAGAGGGCGTTGCCGAGAGAAGACCGGGCGTGACTCGCGGCGGCACTAGCCTAATAGCCTGTTAAAAGCCTGTTAAAGCCTGATGCAGCACCTGCGCCGTTCTGGAGGTTTGCCTCTCCGTAATTACTCAGTACATCTCTTGCCACTGCCCAGTAAATGCGATTGCTGCGGCCCATCTCTTTGGTAAATTGCAAGCCGCCACCTCGCTGCCTCTCCGTGATTCGTCGCCCGTCACCACTAACAACTTCACCGAACTCAAACGCCTTCTACAGGGCCGAGTAATCTTTTTCTTCCATCCTGCGCACCGCACACTGCACACCGCCAGTTGTTTCCCAGCATCTGTGTGAAGGGTCGAGGGTGCCTTTCGCTGCGCTGATCGCCGATTAGCCCGAACTAGTACCCCCGTCCTGCCTTCGACATGCTCCAAATTTATCAACAACTCGCCAGCTGTGCGCCATCCCAGCATGAAGATGTCTACATTTTGGCAATAGCACCGGTTGCGGGCCGTGGGCTTGCCGCCATCACCTCTGCCGATGAACTCCTCCTTCTCAACACAGATGACCTGGCCGGATCCAACCCCGTGGGGCTCCAAGGCGTGCCCCGTGGGCTCTCTTCGTTGGCCGTTGAGGACCAGGGAACAACCCTCATCTGTGCTGGAAACGACGGCACCGTGGCCATCTTTGACATCCGAACCCAATCCAGTGTTGCCCAATTCAAGTTGAGTAAGGCACAGACAAGATCCTTCTTCCAGTGCTACCTAAGCTGACTGACCATCTCTGCTGCAAGACAAACCTGTCATTTCTTTGGCGCCCAGGCTGAATGATGTGGCTGTTGGTGGAGAGGCCGTTGTGTCCATCTGGTACGTCCTCATGTGCTTTGTGTCACAATCCGCACAGCCTCCTTGCTGCCCAGGCAGATCAACCACTGATTCGGCATGGTAGGGATCGAAGACAGGGAAAACCAAGGTGGCAGAATGCAGAGGTCAACGATGAGATCACGGCGTTGGACTTCCACCCCTTTAGGAATAATCTGCTCCTTAGCGGAGGTGATGATGGTGCAATCTGCGTTTTTGACACTCAAATCCAGGAAGAACAAGACAGTCTGCTTCAAGGTGTCAACCATGGTCCGATTCACAAGGCAGGCTTCCTGGGACCGACAGATCTTTACGCTCTGAGCTCGGACCAGAATCTTGCACTGCACTCTCTCACCGTTGATGACGAAGATGTTGAAGCAGACCAGCCAGCACCCAATCAGTTGGGGGACTTAAGACCAGCCATTCCCTGCGAATACGTGATTGGCATTTTACATAGCGGCACGGACCATGTCGTGGTCTGTGGTTCACACAGGTACGGAGAACCTCTTTCTACGACAAGCTGTCTCTCAACCTGACTCTTTCCCCAGTAACTCTCGTGTTGATTTAGTCCGAGTGAGCCGAGGAACCGGGCTCAGTCTTGACCAGCGAATCATCCTCGAAAACGCTCATGGGGGAGAGGTTGTTCGATCGATATATGCAGATGAGACAGTGGGTCACTTAATCCTGTTGGATGCCGACTTGATCGCGCTAACATCCTGCGCAGGATAACACCATCTTTACGGCAGGCGAGGATGGACGAATTATGGCATTCCGTCCACAAGGAAGCCTGCTACAGACCACCCCTGCCAAAGCAACGAAATCCAGGAAGGTTCCAGGTGCAAGATACAGCCCTTATTGAACCGGGCCGGAAGGATATGCCTCCCTGCGTATTCCTGAAAGTCACGATTCGCGCCTGCCTCGGCTAGAGGGCGGGGCCAAAAGACGTAAACCGGGAATCACCTTCCAGCTACGGAGCTTTCGAACATCTCATCTGAGAGCGCTAAAACATTTTGGTTTCACCCTTCCACATACCATCACGTACCGCGTTCCGCTTGACATCCCGTAAAGATGCATCTCTTTGTCATTTGCACTCTTACAGTTATCTTGGCTGGCCAATCTCTTAGTGTGAGCTGTCCCTGTGGTTGGCTACTGGACGAGCAGGATGCAGTATACACGCACCGACTTTAGGAGAATTTCACCCAGTATCCCGACATTGAGTTACTTCTCAACAACCCAGAGGCTGCCAAGTTCAACCGAGATTGGATGATCTACGATTATTAGCAGCGCGCCGACAATCCAACCATTCGCCTGAACGCTAAATATGACTGGACCAACGTCAAGATCAAGGACAAGCACCTCGTAATGAGGCAGCGCGGCTTTAGCCGGGCAGATTTTGATGCTTACTCGACCGTCAGCATCGCTGGTATCCAAAGTCGACGGCTTGACATGCTCCACGGAACCTACCGAACAGTTTTCAAAGTCGAAGGCTCCGAGGGTGGCGCCTGTGCAGGATTCTTTTGGTATCATGTGAGCAGCTTTCCACCCTCGTGCCGAACTCGAGACGGGAAGGCTAATTCTACACTGTAGGACGACCGATCAGAAGTTGACATAGAAGTTATCACGAAGGGTACTTCGGTGGTGAATAACACGGTCAGCTTCACTTCCCACCCGTCTCGCGCACCAAACGGCTCTCCCATCCCAGGCGCGACGCTCTCGAAGTCTTTGAGCGATCCGAAATTAAACCCTGACGCTTTTCGCGAATATCGATTCGACAGCCATCCGGAACTCGGAGTCGCGTACTACGTCGATGGCAAGCTCATCCATACCAACACTGATAACGTCCCAGACGAGGGCGGCAATCTACAACTCAAACTGTGGGCAGACGGGAACAAGTGGTGGAGCGGAACACCCAGCACCACGGACGTATTTATGATCGTGGAGAGTATTGTGGCATACTATAACACCTCGACTCTGGAACCTGCTTGGTTGGACAGCTGCACAGCTGCTGGAGGTCCAAGCAAAAGGACGATTTGCACTATCTAATACTTCGACTGGCGAGGCACCGGGGGAAAAAGCCGAATGGATATTCCCTTGATTTCAACCTAAGACCCATGCCTTTTTTTTTTCCTTGTGCGGTTATCGACTTTTCCGGTGTCCTCAGCTGGGCTCTGCCCCCAATGCCCACGAATCCTCCATCGCTATTCCAAGCACCAAGGTCCACCAAATAGTCAGCCACAACCACCTCCCTTCTCACATTCATATGCAGCAGAGAAAGAAAACGGGAAGGAAATGGCACAAAGAAACAATCAACAGCTCAGATTCCTAAACGATCATTTAGCTTAAATTACTTAGACGACACTGCCGATTTCGCCATTCCAATCACCAATTGCGAAAGCATCATGTTCGGCCCAAAAATGTCTCCTTCACATACGTCCGCGAGTGCGGATGTTGTAAGTGCAGCCAACTTACATTAGAACAGTTATCTCTTTAGGTAACAAGCCGGACTTAGAAATAAGTAGCGAAGTCTGACACGGGATATGGAGCATGGAATGCGGCTCCTTCTCAAGCCGGCCATCGTCATTGCACGCTCTCTTTCTCCCATCATACACAGCACATCGCTGGCAGATTTCAGGAAACGGCTGACGCAGGATGCCATCTCAGGCACCAGGCATCCTCTTCGTCTTGCCGACCAACCAACCGCCCTGGATGTTACATTGAACCGATATGATCTACATGGAGGATCCGGACCGGGTCAAGTGCCCACTCAGGCAGCATCTTTCTGGCCAAGCATATATCTGAGCGAAAGCTTCACATTGCGCAATATGCCTGTGTTGAAGCAGGCGGCTGAATGAGAATGACTTACGTCGTGTCCAACAGCTCAGATGCTCTGTTCGGTCCTGCGTACGAGGGTCCGTTCAGACACTTCGACTTCACGGTCCTCTTCGAAGATACAATTCTCACCGTCCTTCCTGCTACCCTCTTCCTTGTCACCGCCAGTGCGAGGGCAATATGGTTGACAAGCAAACCGAACAAGGTCATAACCTCCTTCAGCCGATTGACCAAACTTGTAAGACGCTGTTCCAGAATGGTGCGCCCGCAGGCAAGCTCACATGTCATAGGTACTCCTGTCTGCATTTGTCACTGTGCAACTGACGATTCTTCTTACCCGCGCAACCAACATGGAAGCAGCTACAGAGGCTTCAATCGCTGGCGCCGCTCTTGACTTTGCAGCTGCTTGCGTGCTTTTCGTTCTTTTCTGCTTCGAACATTCACGCTCAGTGACACCATCCACCATCATTGGACTCTATTTGATAGTTTCATTTCTCTTTGGCGTGGTCCAGCTGCGAACCTTCTATCTGCTCCGTGGATATGCTGCCAAGGGCATTGCCAATCTATTAACCCTGTCCCTGGCGATCAAGCTTGGTGTGCTGGTCACTGAAGTCGTCGAGAAGCGCAGGATACTTCTGGAGCAGTATCGCGATCTGCCGCCCGAAGCCACTAGCGGTGTTTACAACAAGTCAGCCTTCTGGTGGCTGAACCCGTTATTGAGGCTGGGATTTGGCAAGACATTGAAAGTTGACGATCTTTACAACCTGGACGAAAAGCTAGCATCTGCCAATGTCGCCGGAGGCTTTAGACGGAAGTGGGCAGATATCAAGGAAGATCACCGCTTCAGCCTCCTCTTCGTGTCGGCTTACGTTCTGAGATGGCAACTACTGGCCTCGGCTTGTCCTCGCCTTTTCCTCATCGGTGCCAAATTTGCACAGCCATTCCTGGTCCAAGAAACGATTCAGTTTGTTGGTAACAGCCACGCCCACGCAGCGGCCACTGGGTGGGGACTTGCAGGGGCATGCTTCCTGGTTTACTTCCTCCAAGCTATTTTCACAGCAGCATACCGTCATCTTCTGAATCGATGTGTCACCCAGATACGCGGAGGATTGATTTCTCTGCTCTACCAGAAGAAGCTTGAGCTTAGCGTCGCCACTGTCGACCCATCCGCGTCATTAACCCTGATGTCGTCCGATGTGCAAAGAATTGTTGACCCACTCGGGCTGCTGCACGAGTCCTGGGGCAGCATTGTCGAACTTGGTGTCGCCATATATTTGTTGTATCGAAGCCTTGGCGCTGCTTGTTACGCGCCAGCGGTCGTATATGCGATGTCCATGTTAGGCACCTCCTGGGTTGTCCGAGTCATCGGTCTATACCAGAAGCAATGGTTGAACGCCGTCCAGACTCGTGTCTCGTTCACCTCGGCCTTGCTGCATTCTATGAGAAATGTCAAACTACTGGGCATGTCTTCGATCATCAAGGACCGCACGCAGGGTCTTCGGCTGACAGAGATCAATGAATGCAAAAGGTACCGCATCATCACCAACGTCCAGGTACTCCTTCAAAATGAACATATGGTCTTTGCGCCATTCGCAACGTTCCTTCTCTACTACATCAGGTCTATGGAAACGGGAGAAGCGCTCGATCTAGCGACCGCTTTCGGCATATTAACTATATTTAGATTGATTGAATTGCCTATGAACAATTTGTTGTACAGTTGTCCGCAATTGGCGAGCTCTCTTTCATGCTTTGAACGGATTCAGAAATATCTACTATCGAATACCCGAAACGATAATCGCCTCTCGTTGCCTAACGCCTATGATTCCGGTAGGTACTGGGGAAGCTCTGCTGCGGATGCAGAGTCAATTGAGATGAGTCAATTAAGCGGTGCCAATCGAAGCCCAGTGGAGGAGGCTTTGGTTCTGAAGAATTGCTCCTTTGGCTGGAGTGAACAGAGTGTGCCAGTTGTGCAGGATGTCGATCTGTCTGTATGTGCTGGTTGGATCGCCACGATCATTGGTCCTGTTGGCTGCGGAAAATCCACTCTGCTCAGGGGTATTCTCGGCGAGACTCCTGTGTCTCGTGGGTTTGTCTACATTCAAGGCCAGTCTGTCGCCTTTGCTGATCAGGAGCCTTGGATTCAAAATGGCACGGTTAGAGATGCCATTCGCGGCTCGAGCTCAAGAGATATTCCATACGAAGGTGACTTCTCGTATCAGGAAGTTGTGGATTGTTGTGGAATGACTGAAGATATCTCACTGCTTGCAAAGGGTGACAAGACTTTGATTGGTTCCAAAGGCATGTCGCTGAGCGGGGGACAAAAACAACGGCTGGCTCTCGCCAGAGCTGTCTATTCGAGGACACCGATCCTTGTACTCGATGACGTCTTCTCCGGCCTCGACAATGATACGGAAGACTTGATATTCAAGAAACTTTTCAGTCGCTCTGGACCCCTGAGACGGCAGAAGACGACGGTCATTTTGGTCACTCATGCCGTACACCGGCTTCCATGTGCAGATTTCATTGTTAGCCTGGATGCGAATGGTCGGATTTCCGAGCAAGGTAATTACCTCAATCTGGTGAATCAGGGTGGCTACGTCCACAGCCTTGATGTTCGGTTCAGAAAGGAGCACGACTATCCCACTAAGGAAGAAGCCAAGACCTCTGTTGAGATCGAAACAATCTATAAAGCACCCACAGGACCCCCAACAGTTGATGAAGAGACTGGAAATGTTCAGGATCTCCTACGGAGGACCGGCGAGTGGGCCACGTATAAACACTGGTTCCGATCCTGCGGGTACATCTCAAGCTTACTGTCCGTCGTCTGGGCGTTTCTCTTTGTCATCGCCGTCCAGACACCTGGTGTGCTGGTCAAAGCCTTTTCCAGCAACACTTCTTCACAGGCGACCACATTCATTGTCATCTTCGGGATAACATGCATCGTTGCGGCGGTAGCCCTCCTGCTTTACGTAGTTCAGATCCTCCAAGACATGCTACCCAACAGCTCTAGCAACCTCCATCTGAGTCTCCTGGAGGCGGTCTTGAATGCGCCGCTGTCCTTCTTCACGCGCACCGACATTGGTAAGATAACTAATATGTTTTCTCAGGATATGGCACTGGTCGACACCGATTTGCCATTCTCCTACGCGGATTTCGTCTTATCCTTTGTATCTTGTGTCGCCGGACTGGGACTTATGGTTGCCTCTGGCACAGGATATTTCGCTGCCACCATCCCTGTTGTTCTCGCAGCCCTGTATGGGATCCGAAAATACTATCTGAGAACCAGTCGCCAATTGCGTCTTTTAGACCTGGAGGAGAAGGCCCCCCTGTATACATTGTTCGGAGAGACCGCCGCCGGGCTGGTGAGCGTTCGTGCCTTTGGATGGACAGACAAATTCGGAGAGCAGAATCTGGAGCTCCTGGATCGAAGCCAACGTCCATTCTATCTGATGTACTGTATCCAACAATGGCTCGGGATTGTCCTCGATTTCTTGGTTACAGCTCTTGTGACTATACCAATGGTGATTATTGTGGCGAAGCGGCAGTCCATCGAGCCAGGACTTGTCGGTTTGGGCCTGTTGAGCACCGTCAACCTAAGCAGCAATCTGACAAATCTGGTACGGTGTTGGACGAACATGGAGACCAGCATTGGAGCAATCAGCCGATTGAGGGACTTTGCCAAGAATACTGAATCAGAGCACAAGGCGCGGGAAGCTGAGCCGGTCCCGAACCAATGGCCGGAGAGTGGACAAGTGGGTTTTCACGGGCTTTGGAGCCAGTTACTCTACGGACTCGGTGTTAGTTTTGAGGGACATTGACTTGCAAGTGCGGCATGGTGAGAAGTTGGGCATCTGTGGCAGGTCGGGAAGTGGCAAGAGTTCAATGCTGGCCAGTCTCTTCCATCTCCTCGAGTTTCGCAGTGGACAGATTCAGATCGATGGAGTCGACATCTCCCGCGTTTCCCGCGAAATTCTGCGTGCGAAGATCAATGTGATTCCGCAGGAACCTTGGTGGGTGACCACCGAGTCAGTGCGGTTCAACATGGATCCATGGGCGACTGCGAATGCAGAACTCGACGGCCCTGTCGGACGCGGCGAATGCGACGCACTGTTCATATCCTGCCTGACCGAGTGTCAGATCTGGCACGCCATCCGAGAGAGAGGCGGGCTCGACGCGGTAATGACGCCCGACTTTTTGAGCCACGGACAACGTCAGCTGTTCTGCTTGGCCCGGGCGATGGTGCGGCAGAGTAAAGTCGTGGTACTGGACGAAGTCAGTGCGAATGTTGATGTCAAGACTGACCAGCTCATGCAACGGATCATCCGCGAACGGTTCAAAGACTGCACTGTCATTGCGGTAGCACATCGACTGAACACGATTGAGGATTCGGATCGGGTCGTGGTCTTGAGTCAGGGGAGGGTGATGGAGGTTGGAGAGCCGAAAGCGTGGTTGGGGGCCGAAGGGAGTCGGTTCAAGGATCTCTATGAATCATGAGAATGAGATTGATATGGGTTGATCAAGGAGACAGAGAGCGTGCTACATCCAGCACCTCGTACGTCCTATCGAGCTATGTTGATCTACGGTGAGACGGGTACAGAACGAGCCTTGATGAAAACAAATGCCACGGGCAGACGGTCAGACTGGACGGCGACGGTCTTGGCAGTGAACAAAAGGCCTGTGTAGAGAGGAGGGACTTGTAGGACTTGGCTCGAACCTGACTTTTTACTTAGATGTAGTACTTTGTTTGCCTTTGAGGTGGTGCTGCTCTCTCCTTTCTATTCGCTATATATCTGACACAACGGCTGCCACTTCGTCCTGGTTGAGTACTCTTGGGCTACATGAGATACGGCGTCCGTCTTGTGTCAGACTGTGCCCACTTATTTTCCCACTCGACCTCACCAGCCACGTGCTACTCCCGATATCGGCGGCGCTCACTTTCTGCTCTGAGCCATTTTGCTAAAGCAGTTACGCAGTACCAGGAGTATTCGCTATTCGGTCGAAGGTGACCTGAAATTACCATAAACCGCTACGTGCATAAAAAGAAATCTATAATGCCTACATTTAATATCGTCGTGTTCGCCGGCGACTATGCAGGTCCTGAGGTATGCTGGTGTTCCTGGGATTGAAGACTTTGACATGACAATGGCTGACGGCGAGGATGGCGACAGGTGACCAAGGAGGCTGTAAAGGTCCTCAAGGTGGTAGAGAAGTGCTCCAAAGATGTCAAGTTCAATTTCCAAGACCACCTGCTGGGAGGGGTGAGTGTTGCTTCCACAAGGATCCTTGGCCTGTTCTACATGAAGCCGCCCCTTTACCACTGACCTCTGGCATGCCTCACCAGTGCTCGATTGACGTTCACGGCACCCCGCTGACGGACGACGCCCTCAACGCCGCCAAATCCGCCCATGCCGTCCTTCTCGGCGCCATCGGCGGTCCCAAGTACGGCGTGGGCAAGGTGCGTCCTGAGCAAGGGCTCCTCAGACTCCGCAAGGAGATGGGCACGTTTGGCAATCTACGACCCTGTTTCTTCGCCTCTCCCAGCCTCGCCTCCCGCTCGCCGCTCAAAGAAGAGGTCTGCCGGGGCACGGATTTCATGATTGTCCGTGAACTGACGGGGGGGATCTACTTTGGCGAGCGGGTCGAAGGGAACCCGGAAGACGGCGAGAACGAATGGGCCGAGGACCGCGAACCGTACTCGAGACGGGAGATTGAACGCATCACGCGCCTCGCAGCGTACCTCGCGCTGGCAAAGAACCCGCCTTCCAAGGTCTGGAGTCTCGACAAGGCCAACGTGCTCGCCACGTCGCGCCTGTGGCGCCGCGTCTTCACCGAGACGATGCAGAAGGAATTCCCACAGCTGACATTCGAGCACCAACTGATCGACTCGGCCGCGATGATCATGGTGAAGAACCCGCGCGCCCTGAACGGCGTCATCGTCACGTCAAACCTGTTCGGCGACATCATCTCCGACGAGGCCTCCGTCATCCCCGGTTCTCTGGGCCTGCTCCCCAGCGCCAGTCTGAGCGGCGTGCCCGACGGCAAGGGCCTGTGCAACGGCATCTACGAGCCCATCCACGGCTCCGCACCCGACATCGCGGGAAAGGGCGTCATTAACCCCGTCGCGGCCATCCTCAGCGTCGCCATGATGTTGCTGTACAGTCTCAACATGGCCAAGGAGAGCGTGCTCGTCGAGCAGGCCGTCAGGGTCGTCATCGACAAGGGCATCGTCACCAGAGACATTGGCGGGGAAAACTCCACCGTCGAAGTCGGCGACGCGGTCGCCAGGGAGTTGGAGAGTTTGTTCAATAGCCAGTGAGAAGTGTGGTGCGTATGAGAGAGACGCACACACACAGAGAGAGAGAGAGAAGGGAGATGGGTATCTCGCTGGGGAACATGTCCCACGCCGGTCTAATCTCCGCCATGTCGTAGCCTCGAGCACTCGCTTCATGCATATTCTGCACCGTGAATAGAGAAAGGGAGGCAGTCAGTGATGAATCACAGGAATAAAAAAAAGTTGTTCTTTTTGGGGAAAACACAACCTGAAGAAAATCCGAATTAAATCTGAGGGTCATTCCATCTCATCCAAGTACTTACATCATTCCACATAATAGTTTTCCTGTACCGGGGCCCTGGGGCGTTGGGCCCCTTCATCCATATACACCATTTCATAATAGTATAGATCCTAAGCTGCTTTAGCCCGTCGACATTCCAGCACCATATGCCCTCTGCAAACGGGTATCCCAAAGCCAAAAGTACCACCGCGAAACGCCAGTCGCGTCTGTCCATCCATAATGAGAATTCATGATCATGGGTCCTGTTGTAGTCATGTACCTCATCCAAGTCATCCGTCAATTCATGAACCAGTCCCTGTGATATCAAGCCCTGCCATTTGCCCACTCTTGAATCCGTCTTTCTTCTCCCCTTGCTATTTAGCCAGGGAGTCTTCCCGCCTCGTCGAGCCCAGCCCGTCGTCGTCTATTTGTCGCTCGTCGTCCTATCCCTCGACCTAGGTTTTCACCCTCGGCTGGGTCCTGCAGGTTGCCTCCTCCTTGGCCGAGCATTTCCAGCATCTGCTGCATCTCCATGGGCATGCCAGGCAACGGATTTTCTCGACCCCTGACGTAACCATTCAAAAGACCCATGGCCGCTTGCCCTGCATTCGCATAATTCGCCGCTAATGCTTCACGCGCTCGCTGGATGAAGTCCTGGTTCATGTGGTGGTTCGCTCCATTCCCCAGTCCAAACATGCGCGGAGCTTGGCCGTCGCCGTCATCGCCGACCCCCATTTGCTGCATGCGTCGAGCTAGCTCCTCGTCGCGGTTAACCTGGTCCCGACGCCTGTCCATTTCTTGTTGATACCGCAGAGGATCACCCAAGTGCGCATCAATAGCTTCGTAGTTGAACCAGGGACAGTCACAAGATTTCCACTTCAGACCGCACACCATACAGAACTCGGCGGTGCAGCGACATGTCATGTGATTGCAGCCTTCCTTCAGCTCAACCATGGCGTGACAGCTATAGCACCTTTGCCAGCCCTTCTCCTTCGCTGTTTCGATGAAAGCTTTCGTTTCCGGGTCCTTAGGACATTCACGTGTAGTGTGCATCTTCTGAGAACACATCGGACAGACCTTTGTTTTGCATTGTTTGCACCGTCCCACTTTACGCCCATTCTCTATCGTGATATAGTGCGGTTTGATCCAAGCGCCACATTTTCGGCCGGGGCAATATATTCGGTTTTTGGTTTTGTATTCTTGAAACTTGCGGTTCCATAGCACCTTGAACTTGTCATCGAACAATTTCTCGACGTGCTTGAGTGCAATGTGTTGATCGGTACAACAGCGAGGGGGCATGTGCGCAGGATCCTTAACAGACATGGTAAAAACTCGCTTAAGGCATGAATTGCACATGCGATGTTTGCAGGGCAGTAGGGCAGATTGAGCCACCGGGATCTCATCGTCGCCACACGTGAGACAGGAGACTTTTCTTTGTGTCGTAGGTTTGGGTGGCAGAAGTCCGCTCAACAGACTTGGTCCTTTCTTGGGCGTTCCTGGGCCGTCTGAAGATTTTGCAACACCCACTTCAGCCTTGGGCTTTGAAGTTGTAGCGTTTCTCTTGATTTCGGGCTTTTGTGGTTTCTCGACCAAACCCGAGGTTTGACGCGGTAGTGGCTGGGGCTCGTCTACTGCGCAGAGGGGTCTACCAAATGCGATCAGCCTTGTGCGCGATATCAGACAATCAAACTTACTCGTCAAAGACATAGACTTCCTTCCTTCTTGATGGCTCCGTGGATCGTCGCTCCGATGGTCGGCGCGTCGCTTCTTTCTTTCTGGGATTTTGTCCTTGGGGATTTGTTCTCTGGGTGCGAAGTGGTTCCGTCTGCGTTGCGCCTGCGCCTGATACTCGTACGGACTTGGAATATACGTAGTCGTCTTCGCTGTCATGTTGGACTGCGCCTCTTCGATTATCGTCTGAGCGTGTGTTGGAGCGGCGCTCGGGTCGACGATCATCTCGCACAGAAACTTGCACCCGTGCAGCCTTGTGTCGCCTCTCCTTCTCTTCATCCCCCTGCGACGTCTTTTGCCGTTTCCAATACTCGTATTTCATGTCTTTTCCTTTTTGTCTTTCCTCGGGAGATTTGGTTAAATATGCGAGTCTAGCGTTTCTAAGGGTATCGATGTCAACGGGGCTATTAACGGTAGCGGGCGATTTTGGTGTGACACTGTCATTCTCGGCCGTCTTGCGGGATTTTGGCATTTCAGTGTCACCATGTTGGTGTCGATGAGTCTTCCTTCTCTTGACCTCGTTCCCAGCCATGGCTGACTTTTCCTAGGCCAGCGACAGCTTCTTCAGATGACCAAACACCAAGACTTAGTGCGTTTGGGCCGCGATGTAGTGTTAAGAGCCAATCACTGGGTGGCGCAGGTAGCATCCACTCTCGTGGAGTGACGAGCAGGTTGGCGAGCACGCGGTGCTGTGTGCTGCAGGAGCATCATCTTCTGAATTTGCTGGCAGGATGTGTAGCCTCTGCAATGAGGCAGCCAATAGTGGCAAGCCAGCTGGCAGTTGACCTTGGAGGCGGGTTGGGCGGGACACTTGGATAGCCAAGATAGCCACCGAATAGCCTATCCGAGCCTCCTCTCGATTTCGCCGCAGCCTTGGACTAGCATCTTCTGTACCCAGTAACTATGATTGGCTTCCCCGCATGAACGTTTCTCCGACCCGAGACCACACTCGTAAGTCGCCGCCAACATCAAGAGGGATCGTTTCGACTCTCGACAATAGATCAAATCACGACGGGAATACTGCAACAGCTAGTTTCCTCTTCTACGGATTGCAGCATCTGCAACCCACTATCTTTCAGAATGGTGGATGGGGACTGCTGGCGGCAACGTTTGCCTCCGAAGCAATATTTTACTTCACGCCCTATCACAACTGCCGAGCGGTAAAATCTAAGAAATATCAACCCAGCAATATGCCAGGAGCATTCAACTTCTCGAGCTTTCCACTGGCGAGGTGGCAAACACCATGTCCAATCCATTCATTTATACGAACCCACGGGCGAGCTCATGGACACATACGTATGATACAGACATAAACCTTGCTCAGGCTTTTCACAAGCACCTTCCGGGGTATGAAGAGACCCCCCTGGTGCCTCTAGATGACCTCGCAAGGGAGCTGGGAGTCCAAGCAATCTTTGTCAAAGACGAGAGCAGCCGATTTGGATTGCCGTCGTTTAAGATCCTGGGAGCTTCATGGGGCACCTTTCGTGCAATCGCCGAGAAGCATGGACTTCCTCTTGACTCGAGCCTTGGAGATATTGCGGATGCAGCAAAGAAATCGAAGACAATACTCTTTGCGGCAACAGAAGGAAACCACGGCCGGGCTGTTGCGAGAATGGGCAAGATACTGAAGATTCCTGTTTGGATTTTCATGTCCAAATTTGCCGATCACGAGACCTGTCAAAAGATCGAAAGCGAAGGTGCCAGAGTCACAGTTATCTCGGGCAACTACGATGATGCCGTCTCAATGGCCTTCCAGGAATCACAGCAGGCGCCAACGGGCCTTCTTGTTCAAGACAATGCCTTTGATGGATACGAGCAAATTCCAGCTTGGATCGTTGAAGGCTATTCGACGCTTCTGTCCGAAGTCGAGCGGCAACTCAAAGAACAAACCCTGAAAGCGACCATGATTGTTACTCCTATTGGCGTTGGGTCTCTGGGCCACTCTGTTGCCGCTTATTGCAAGTCTAACGGCAGGCAAATCGGGGTTGTGGCAGTGGAGCCCGAGAACGCTGCGTGTTTGCACCAAAATCTCAAGGTTGGGAAATGGAATACAATCGACACGTCGGCAACTATCATGAGTGGGATGAATTGTGGGACTGTCTCGCCTATTGCCTGGCCAATTCTTTCCGAAGCGGTCGACATCAGCATCACAATATCAGACTCGGAATGCCATCAATCCGTGCAGTACCTGCAGGCCCATGGTGTCAATGCTGGGCCTTGTGGAGCTGCGGCACTTGCTGCAGTGAAGAAGATCGGGTCGACAGGTTCTTTGCCCGTAGGCATGTCTAATGATGCTGTTATTGTACTGTTAAGCACCGAGGGTGCCAGAGCCTACGCATCTCCTTGAATGGCTTCCTAAGATCCATCGAGCGTGAGTTGGATACTTTCAGATGTGATGGACAGTTCTCGAGAATCCGTCGTAAGAAGCAAAACCGCCTTGTTGTAGAGGGAGCCATTCTCCAGCATAAAAGACCTCGATTCACACTGTCATGTATTCGATCGCATCCGAGCCAGCTGCCCCTAGCAGACAATATTATCCCTTATCCCACTGGGCCGTCTGGCGGGTACTCACTTTTCAGCGCATCATTTTGCACAGTCAAGCCCTCCTTATTCGCAACGGAATTCGAGGTTTAGGGCCGTTGCTTCTCGGGACATGATAATTTCGCCAACTTCCCCCCTTGCTCAGAGTTGTTGTGAAGACCTTTCCAGTTGAAATTCGGACTCACTAAATCCACCTGGGGTTTCAGCTATTAGCACCAATAAATCCCTCGCTAATTCTGGATCGGATCGGAGCCCGTCTTCGAGCATTCCTTCAGAGATGCGAACCCCTCTGATTCTCAGATTCCAAGCACAAAGCCTGCACAGATCCCCCACATCTCAGATCCCTTCAGAGCTGCTGCACTGAGTTGGCGTAGATGACACCGTGCGACCTCTGCGAATTAGATGCAAGTTTTAGTCGAAGGTCAACACCCTCTCCGCACATTGACTTGATGCCGAACATGTCGGCGATGAACAGGCCGGTCAACCTGGACAGGGTCGCCCTCAGACCTTTGTTCTCATTTGGGCCGGCGAACTCATTCTCATGTCTGATCCAATCAATAGGTGCTGATAGGCTTTTGATTTTGTTGGTAATGCGCTGAGAGTTTTGTCCGTCCTCACAGTCAAGATGAGAAGGACTTTGGACTTTCTGATAACTTCATCTTTGGGCTGATTTCGTCAACAACGTTCCCGGCTCACTGCAATCCGTCATCGCGACTCCTATGAGGGCCTTGGTGGTACTAATTTCTGGAGAAGGTCCGCGGATGACAAGTCGCAAGTGAGATGTAAATGAGTTGCAGTGATGGTGCGTTGATACTGAGCCAGCTTCCGGCCAAGAACTAAGTTGTGAGTGCGATGAGCAAAACACCAGAGCGGTAAGTGAATAGATTGCCATGAGCATCCTGCTATCATCCCCTGTCTGAGCAATCCATCAACTTCATCACCACAGGGGAGATATCATGGTCGCTCGACAGAAGCTGTTTAAGTGGCTGCCATCAAATAGGCCATGACAGACAACTGCGACGCTGCACTTTTCCACCACACCTGACGGGTCATCCTGCCTGAAGCTGCCAGTGACAAAAACTTATCGAAGTTGAGCTCTCGTGGACAGTGAGTCCTGGTTGCCTTCCTTAGCAATCTCAAGCCCTGCAGTGTAGACGTGAGTTCCTTCCTCACGCCCCTATCACCGCTGCATGAGGTGATCGATATTTCAACTTTGTTGGCGCGGCAGTTGGCTGTGCGTGAATGGATTATGTCCGTGGGCTGTAACATTACTTGGCCTTGGGTACCTGCGCCTTAAGATACAGGACGGGTGCGGAGAGCCGCCTTCGGCTGAGCTAGTGCTTTTCCCTTTACCAGTCAGTGATCACGATAGCCCTGAGAGCGGTACTCAGCAAGGTCCTTAAAGAGAAAGGGGGATCAGAACCATTCAGGAGGGATGATGCCTGAGGTCTCCTTGGCCCGCAATATGATGCTCTCACACCCCTCTGTTCCCTTCCATTAATTCATCAAGGACGCGAAACCAAGTCGGACAGATGTAACTGTCTTTGCCTTGAGGGGGGACAAGACCTCCAGGAGGAGATCATATATCCACGTATGTAGATACGCCGAATGCGTTACGCGACCTTGCCGAGTACTAGCCGCCTAGGTATGATCTCCAAACTCCTCATGGCGCAACGTTCCAAGTCATGAGTATGGACAACGAAACTGGCCTCTGGGTATGTCCGAATGGATCCTACGACACCCCTCTCGGAGCGGCGAGTACGCCCTTTTACCTACCTGCCTGCCTGTCGACGGCGAGGGCTGATGCTGTGAGGGTTCAGTGTGCTAGCTAAAGACGGAGAACGGGGCACTGTACGTAGCAAGCAAAGCACCCCTTTATCTCCGCAGCCTCGTCCAAGTTCGAGCTTGCCGTAATCAGCTGGCCGGGGTTGGCTTATTACCTGGAAATAGTTCTCACGTCTTCAAAGTTGGGTAGACTCCTCCTTTGCGCTCTTCCATTGACATATACGATGCGGTTACACCTTGTAGCTTAGTATTCATCCATGCAGCCAATGTTGCCGCTGGATGATCCGACATACCACTTGGAAGTATTCACGGAAGGAGGTTGCCACGGGTGCCAGTTATTGGCTGGATTCCGATCCCTTTTGGTTTCTTATATTGACATTACGTATCTTTTTCTCCCCCGGAAATGGCCGATGCCACGATTTATGGTATCACATCTCTCGGCCCAGGGGGTAGGTCTGTCGATGTCGCTGAAGTCTGTCTGATCTCGAAGCAAATACCCATTGGGTGGTCAACATTGTTAAACTGTCGATTTTGCGTCTCCAACTCCATTCAGGCAGAACGCTCACACCAAGAACTTTTTTCATGCCGATCGGTCTAGCAAAGACCATCCCGGCTCCACTATCCAGCAGTGGTAGGAAATATACCAACTCCTGTACGCCTCTCTAATGCATTCATGCCCCACCGCTCAAACCGCGCGCTCAAGAAATTTCACTATCATTAAAGGCCCGATAGAAAACTTAGTGTGCCGCAGTGGCCTCGTCCTCGCTATCGATCTGGTTTGGGCTGCCTCTGAATCTGGCTCTCTTAATGGCATTCAGATCACCCTTTGAGCCACCTGATCCACCTAGGGGTCTCGGCCCTGAGGGCTTTCGTGCCTGACTCTGTGGCGATCTCAATGCGGCGACGGGAGACTAGAACCTTGTAAATATTTCCGATTTTCAAATTTGGAGGCCTGTGAACGTACCTTGTCAAATGCTGGGCTTCCGGCTCTTGCCGCAGCAACATGGTCGACGTAAGTCGGCTGTCTGTTCGAGGGTGTAGGACTCATCATAATCTTGGGCGGACGTTGCGGCACCAACGGTTCGTCATTTGGAATCTTCGGCGGTCGAGGCGGCCCCTGAGAGCTTCCGGATTGAATGCTCCTGCTATCATGTATTTGGCCTGGCTCTGCAGAGTAGGGCGAGTCAGAAATAGGACTGAGATGTCCTCCATAGGAAATGGTTGCGGCATGGGTAGGGTGCAGCCCCAAGTGGGTCTCCCACTGAGACGAAGTCTGGGAAGTCGGCGAGATTTGTTCGTTGTTGTAGTGTTGTGCTTCAGACTCCAAACGCGACTGGAAGCGACCCGTGGGCCCTTGTCTAGGCTGTGGGTGCTGAAGGTTGATGCTGTTCCGGTGAGCCTGATACTTGGGGTTGTCAGACAACTGGCTTGGTACTAAAGGAGATGGTGGTCGATTCTCCACGTCCTCGTATTGATCCCGATTGAACGAAGTGTTCGACCTAATACGGTCCTCGCCTTGAGGATCATGCTCGTACTCATATTCTCCGAGATTGGAACCTGATCGAGAGTGCTCTGAGTAAGGTCTAACTCGTTGTTGACTTGACCGAAAGTTATCGGCAGAAGATGAAGTAGTCTTGGACCACCGAGAGACCATCTTTGGAATAAAGGAAGATGCAAAAGACTTGTGCTTCCTTCCTGATGCGTCACCTGCGGAGAGGTGAGGAGTATTTTCATTGCTTAAAGATCCCGTGTTTTGGGCCAGCGTTCGAGGCGGAGTATTCAAGGGAACCGAACCTCCTCTGGCTTGTCGAATTCCGTCGTTCCTTGGTGGCGTGCCCAGTGGCGTGTGGCTCACGACTTGTGCATTCCCGCCTGCAGCGCCGAGATGGTTCCCATAGTCGTCGTACTCTTCATCACCTTCCATGACTGTGCTCACTCGGTTACCAGAATCTCGACGCATGTTGTGGTTGCGATAATCGGCCTGGCGAGAGGAGTTATTCGAGAAGTAGCCCGAACGATCACCGGTTGATGAGGTCCCTGCCTGACCCTCTGGTTCATATCCTGTGTCTGTAGGAGCACGAGTGTTTTCTGCAGACGTCAAGCTTGTAGATCTAGGCTGATCTCTTGCAACAGCTCTCGGTTGTGAAGCCCTCAATGCCTCGACTTCGTCCAAAAGCCGCATCAGCATTGCCTCAATGTTTTGCAATTCCAGCGAGTTTTTGGCTCCAAGGCCTCTAAGCGCACGTTGGAATACATTGCGACGCTTCGACGGCATGTCTTCCTCGGAGGTTGCCGACATTGTCGGGCGAGGAGCAGCGATGGGTTGTGGTCGCGGCCCGCCGATGATCTTTTGGGTTCTTTCATGTTGCCTATCAGCAGTGTCCATGATGAGATCGTCCTGTTCTGCAATGAACTTTTTCATGTCTTCAAAGGAGTTACGCATCTCAGCAGCGCTGCGAACTAGAGTCACGAGAATTTCCGTATCTCTTGCATTTCGCTGGGCGTCGCGCATTGTAAGATGATCCATGAGAGCCACAATATCCTTTGATTGGATATTATCACGGCCGCGGCCTGTTGCACTGTCATACATGGGTGACATGCCATGCGAAAGACCACTAACATACTGATCTCGCTGGGCCGTAAAGGGATCGTCTGCAATAGGAGAATGGTCGAGTGGTATATCCGGTGTGAAGGTGTCGTCTTGAACACCTCGGCCTTGGGAATAAAGGCCTGGCGATGGTACATTTGCTCCAGTTTCATAGCCCTCATCCTTAGCCCCTGGAGGAGTTGACAGAGGCTGGGGTTGCAAATAGAGGTCACGTTTCGGATCAAAGTCATGATCACGGTTGGTGGACAAGGGCTCAGGGATGAGATCAGCCCCAGCGGAGCCGATGTCGCGACTCACCGGCGGAAGCACCAGGTTAGCTCGAGAGTGTGGAGGTGTTGGATCATAAGGCCAGTGCTCAGTATTGCCCTGTGTGAGGCCGCCAATCGGGCCTCGGATGATAGACGGATTCGTGGTGATGTCTGACTCGGGTGAACGTTCCACTTGACCGCTGGGCACATTACTGGTAGCAAGAGGTGCAGGGTGCGCTGATTTAGCGGAAGCTTGCTCCAAATGTTCAAGTGAGCGAGCAGGACTCTGAGGTGGCGACGTCATCACAGCCGCTGCTCCTGGAGCGAGCCCGTGTAGGCTCTCACTATGGTTTGAAAGCTGTCGTTTCAGCGGGCTGCCACTGTGCCTCGACATGTAATCGTTGTGGGATAATAGAGGACTTGCCATCTCATGAGCGCCAAGCGAATCCGTCTGGCTGTGACGTGGTGAATATGTATAGTCGGCGGAGAGGAGAGAAGGTTCGACTAGCGATGCAACAGCGGACTCGACACCTGACGGTTCATCCACATACTGCGCTGTTGCCCCGATGCCTTTAGCGACAACCTGTTGGCCTGCAGTGACTTTGTCGATATACGGCGAGTCACGATAGCTGTCGTCTTCGTGGTGTTCTCCAAAAGCAGCGTGTGGATCCATTTGGCGAGGAGTGCTTTCAAGCGAGCTCACATGTTGAGCCATGACCTCACTCCGGCTCTCCAAGCTCATCCCTTGAGGCCGCCTAGAGCGGGCCAGGTCAGTACTGGGCGCTGATGACAAGGAAGAGACGGAGACTTGGTCATCCATTTCAGGATGTTTGCCCGGCGAGTGCAAAGACTCCGAGCTGTGTGCCTGCATCAAGGAGTTGCGATTGGGTTCCGTAGTCGCATAACTGGCAACGCTCTGTATCGGACTAAGGCCCCGTCTAATGGGATGCTGCTGATGAAGATTCCTCTCATATTGACGAGCCCTTTCTGGATCTGTTAAAGCCGCAAAACCATGAGTAGCAAAATCCAGCTCTTCAGGCTCATGTGGTTTGTCAAAAGTATCCTCATCGAACATTTCTTTCTTTGAGGACAAGTCGTGGGTCGACAAATCGTGCTCTGAAAAATTACCATGGTGGGTACCGAGTCCCCTTTTCAGATCGAGAGCGTTGGCGGTGGGCGTCGTTTGAGATGCTGGCGACGAAAGTTCGAGAGGAGATCCGCGTATCACCTCACGCACCTCACGCCGGGTTGGTGTCTCGGCGCGGCCATCATTTGAGGATTTAAGCGAGCTTCGAGTGAGATCAGTACCAATTTCACTGACGAAGGGCATGGGTGGCACTTGATGTTTCTGGAAAGCGTCCTCCTTCTCTGTATAGCTTGCGCTGCGGCTGCTACGGGATTTGCTCCTCCGCCGTCTGCGGTGCTCCGAGTAGTCCAGACTCGAGGCCGAATCGTGCGATTTCAGAGCGGCAGCGGTCAGGGCTGCGCCACCAACGGACCCAGCTGCGACATCACGGGCACGTCGGCCTTTGGAGTGCCTTCGGGACCTCTTCTCGTCGCCCAAGCTGTCGACAGACTCAGATGGCTCGTAGCTTTGCTCAGAAGGTGAATCATAGTCGACCGTCTTGTGACGTCTGTGACGACGAGACGAATCTGAAGGCATTCCACCTTCAGCTTCTCGACTGACTCGACGTTTGGATTTGCCCCCTGATGATCTGCGACGCGTCCTGTCCTCTCGCGATAGGGTACTCGACGACACATCGGGATTGCTATATTTATCATGCCGAGATCGGTGGGAATGCTTCTGATCTCGGCGCAATTCATTGAGCTCGGGCAAAATAAGCCTTCGGATGGCATCTTCAACGGCGTGAAGCAGTTTCGGGTTGTTCGTGACAGAGACGTTTGATGTCCCTGAGCGGGCCGATCGTTGGTCTGTGGCCCGCGGGTCTGCAGACATTTGAGAGCCGCTGACAATACTAGAACCGGTCATGCTTTGCATGGAGTCATCGTCGACGTTTTTGGTGACACGAATTCGCGGTTCGGCGTGCATAGACTCCGGTTCTCTGGTCGCGCTGCTCCGACTTCCACTATGGCTGCTATGATGACGCTTTCCATTACTCGAAACGCGTGGCTTGTTGCTCAACTTTTCGATGACTTTCTGCGTGATTCGCTCGTTGCTCAGATTACGTTCGGCGGGAATAACAGGTGGTTTCAAAGATGCCCCTTCAGCAGACATACCTCGGGTGATGCTGACGCTCTGGCTGGAAGGGGACATGTTGATAGGTGGATTGGGTCCTAGAGAGCTCTCTGCTGGCATAGACGAAATGTCGGATTCTGGGATTATGTATCTGGTCTCAGGAAGTGAGCTCAAGACGGACCTGTCGCTGTCCTCGTTTTGTAAGACTTCGATGTCGACAGGCACGGCAGGCCTGAAGTCGTCGCCTGTATCCAAAGAACTGATGCTGCCCTCAATGACGTTCGGCGCAAGAGTCTCGTTTCCTCCAAGTGAAATGCGGTGGCTGAAGGATGGCCGCCTCGCCGTCGGAGACTCGGTGACCAGAATGTGGCGGTCGCTTTTATCTCTGTTCTTCCGAGAGTGAGATGGTGTGTAGCGAACTCGTAAGCTGGGCCTTCTCTGCCCAGAATCGGATGCTTTACCTCCTTCAAATAACTCAATAAGCAATGAAGTTTGAGATTGTTGACCGGACTTTGTTAGTTTTCCTATGTTGCGCTTCGGGGCAGGGGTAATGGTGATTGGGCTCCCGTCGTCAGGAATGATCTCGGAGGTCTTCTCGCTTCGTCGAGACAGATCGGTCCCAAGGTCCGTACCGTGGCCAGTGTCGTCAGCCGACTCCAGTAAAGAGTCTGTAGGCGCAGGCAGAATTGGGCGTCGACTCGAAAAGCCCATCCTGAAGCGACCTCAACTTTGCCGGGTCATGGAGCACACACGCAGGGGTCGATGCGCATGTGCCCTAAGGGTCTGATGGTTATATTCTTGCTAATAAGTTTGGAGCGATCATGGTTGGTGGAGGTTCGCTGTGAGGTTGATCGATCGAAAGTAAATAGACAAGCGATGATTTTGAAACTGTTCCGCAGGTGCCCTTCTCTTGTCAATCACAGGTTTGATGACGGTGAAGGTGATCTTGATCTGATGGGCTAGCAATTTACAAGGAAGCGAAGGTATGGGCAGGTGATTGTGGTGGTGTTAATGGTCGATGCGCAGGCGAATAATTGCGAGGTTGGGAGTTTGTGGTTCGGCGACCGCAGGTGACGGTGAGTGATGGGACGGGGTCTCAGTGAGACGAGTCAAGTATCAATAACCGTGGATCACAACGAAGCTGGAAACGCTCATGGGTATCATGTCTGTTTGGCAAGACAATAGTCGCTGCAAGAGCAAAGCAAACAACGAGGAAAAGGATGAAGCAAAAGCGGTGGACTTGGGCTGCAGATGTCCGAAGAGGCACCAGAGAGATGCCGCGCAGCGAGCAGGTGCGGTACTACGTACTTAGTTGCAGGTGAGATGGATGGATCGGGGGAGGCGGAGGCGACCAAGGACACCCAAGAGCCTAGGGAGCCCAAGAGAGCTTGCTCGTAGGGAGCCTGGCCCCCCGTCAGTGGCCGGACCTTTTTTTCATGGGTGTGCCGCTAAAGAAAACAGCGTCCAACAGGCCCATCCCCCTCCAGTCAGGGCCAAAAGCACACGCCACTGATGCACTTCCCAGCACTATTGGTTCACCGCCCGAGGCATGGACCTTTCTGACCTCTCAGGCTGCGCTCCCTTCCGCTTCTCCACCGATATGCGCCTGGCTAAACAGATAAAAATTCCCCGGGAACGAACACCTGGGTCTCATTCACTGGTTCAAGACTGCGTGTTCTCGTCCACCAGACTATCAAAAAGGAAATCGACAACCCAAAAAGCCTCTGTCCCCTGCTCTCAGTTATGCACATTATTGCAGCAACTGTCGATCCCAAACCGCCATCTCAGCGCCGAGATCAGAGCACCAGACGACAAGAACAGGCCACTGAAGCACCCTTGCACAGATCAACAACGGATCTGTGGGGTGTAGACTGGTGAGTGCCAGGAATGTCAGGTTTCTCTTCCGCAGAACGCACAACTGCTGTAGGTGATAGCCTCCTGTCGCCGGCCTCGTTCACGTTCTCCACCGTCCATTGGTCATTGCTTTGCGCGTGCATATCTGCAAGGTCACCTGTTGATGCAGCGACCTCCTGCTCCTCTACTGAGTCCTTGACCGCCTGAATTTGTTGCCGGAAGTGGAAGCGCAGGACGGCATACGAAGCACTCTGAAAGAGAAGCAAAAGACATACCAAGCCAGAGGCAGATCCGAGGAAGCGGTTGGCTGGGCAAATGGATGGGGCAGCAACCCTTCTTGCCCTTCTCACTAAAGGTTACGGGCCTTTGCCGCCGTCGGGTCCACCCACGGGCCACGGCCTGATCCTGGCGATGTGAATCTTTTGGTTGTACGGGCGACCGCTTGTGACAAGCAGTTTCAGGCTTGCAGCGACTTCCATCCCACCTCGCCATTCGTCACTCAGCTGTGCGTGGACAGGCGACGCCTCTTCAGCTTGCCAACACATCAGCCACCAACCTGCCAATCGAATCCTTTGTCTCGCCCAGCATTTATGCACCTCACCTGCACCAGCAACCAAAAATGTGTTGCGCTACGGATAATGGATGTTGTGCTACAATGCCTTCAGCACGGGAATATGGTGGGCTTTGCCACGTGCTGCCAGAACCCGGCTTCTCAGGTATCGACAGATATCGCCGCATCTAGGTGCGATAGAAGATATTGTACTGACGATGAGGTCGTCACCTACCTAGGGTGATAGAGTGCCCTGTGAACATTGGGGGTTGTGCTACATCGCTTGGAACACACCTGAAGTTTTTGGCCGCCTTCACGGACAGCTGCTCCTGCATGGGGTATTAGACGATCCCAGTCACGCTTGGACCATCGTCTACACCGAGCACACCGAATTGTGCGAGCTTCAAACCTCGTGGTCGTATTGATTCCCACAAGAATCTCCGCCAATTGGATCACCGCTGTCTGAATCTATGTCTGTGCGCTCTCGGCGAATCCATTTTCTAGGATGTCTATCAGTTCATCAAGCCGTGCGATGCTAAGACCCGTATATTCATGCTTTATTAAGTCTTGGTTTTCGTCTTGCGCCAACAGCACCGTGGCCGCACCCGCTCTCCAACCCGCTGCCATGTCGTCGATGCTATCACCGACCATAATCAAGCCCGATCCCAGATACCTCCTAGCCAACTCTAGGGGATCAAATTCACCACGATCGGCCTCAACCGACTCTCGAATTTCACCAATTTCAATCTCCCTATCCAACCCCCAAACCTGAGCAATCATCCACAGCCCGTCGGGACTAGGCTTTGGCGACACTCCCTCCGTCTCCCTCGTGATGATGGGCTCAAACACTTCCTCAGGTAGGTAATTGTTCAACAAATGATGCACGGGGGCAGGGAAATTTCTCGTGCAGAGTGCCTTTTTCACGCCCCGCTGAGTGAGGTAGTCCATGAGTGCCTGCAGGCCAGGTTGCGGGCGCTGTGAGGACATTGCGTGGCGCTCGATGGCCTGGATCTTAGCAACCGCGCGAGCTTGTGGCGATAAGGCTGCCGGGTGGGCAATCATGTCGCTGATGGGAGAGAGTATATCTTCGGATGGGAGCTGAAAGGGGCTCAGTGTCGAGTGAGGCGGTGGCCGTCCTGACACTGAGTCTGGCGCGATGTCGTCGCTGCTAGCGTCGTCTGGGTTGTCGGGTTCATTGGACAGCGAGCGGATGTGGTCGAGGATGTCGACTGATCTGGGTATTCCCAACGCCTCACGCATCTCTCGAAACATGTAGTTTTGAGGAAGACTGGTGGAAGAAAGGTAGGGTTAGAGGGTTCACGTTCGCCAAAACCACGGATGTAGTAGACTTAAGTCAATGGGGCGACATTGTTGATGTCGACAGATAGGTTACGCACCACAACGTCCCATCCATGTCGAAAACGATGCCCTGCAACTTAGGAAGATCGTGGCCGTTCTCGGCGTCGGGGTTGAGCGGCGCGAATCGCTTTGGCTTTCGCTGCCGAGACCTCGCCGTCGCCGCCTGTGCGCATGACGCAGATGACGTTGACATTGCTGTTGCCACTCTTGGCCTCGAGATGTGCGATGCGGAAACTTTTGCCGAGAACTGCAGACAATGACATGCGGAATAATACGCTCTCTGGCCACGGAATCGGATCGAGGTTGAGATTGACAGGAAGAAGAAAGGGTGTCTTGGTGTTTGCCGCTGGCTAGTTCGACTGGTGGCAACGATGACGGGACGGCAAGTTGCTGCGCAAGGGCGAAGAGGGTAGAGGGTGCCAACTCTCGGCCACGCCAATGTTGAGAGGATATTAGAAATGGGCGTTGCGGTCATAGTATTATCTCATTTAAAACCCCTTAGAAGGAAAAAGGGACGCGGCATATGGCATTGTGCGGTGATGATGATGTCGGGACGGGAAAATCCGTGCCATGATATTACTAGCGAGACAGCCTCGCCTCGTCTCTCACCAAGCAGGCCACATCATCCAGCCTTGGTGGGGAAATATGAATAAATATCAACGACAGCTCCGAGTTCAACGCAACTCACCCTAATCACCCTCCTTCTCACCTTTCGTGCCCACCCCGCAGGTCCACGCCTGGATCTCATCTAATGGTCATGATCCGCGTTTCAGCTTCGTCGAGGAATCCATTCTGAACAGTATCGTTCGTAATTCCAATGCGGTAAAATAGGTTGGTGTCTTCCATGTCTTGTTCGAGAACAAGAGTGACATGCTCACTTAACCGGAAAAACCATCGATCAATTCCCGGAGCGGCCTTTCCGACAAGATTGATGGCATCCGCTGACCATGCATAGCTGGCTTCATCCCCCCCCCTCTCCCCCCCTTTGTTCGTAATCCGAGCTTGGGATTCCACGTCTCCGCGTGCTGAACGCCCTCTATGCGGACGCCGAGTACAGGTCCCGACAGCTTGATGTAGGCCGAAGCGACCAGCCCCGTAGGATCCAGGCCTTTTGGCTCTCACTTGGCGTCCAGTACCTGTACGAAGCTGGTTACCTCCCTAGCGAGCCCATGTACTCGCCCCCGCCCAGCATCCTGAAGATGGCGGGCTATGCCGGACAGGGCTGGAAGGATGTCTCTGTCGTTTGTTAGAGAGGTGGCAGCGAAGTTCCCTAGTATGTGGAACCATTCGTAAACAAAATCAAAGTCATCCTTTCTGTTATTGTCAGTATTGTTTCCTTGTAGGTCGTCTGTTCTTTTCACTTCTCTGAGAATCTTGTTGAACTGTCCTTTCCACCCAATGGACCGAGATGGTCAATGTCGCGACACTCGCAGTCAGCCATGCACCGACATTCCCACGTTACCTCGCTCTTGTCATGGTATACGATTCGCGGGCTTAGATACCTCTCCTGGAAGCACCATTCTCTCATAATGGTGGGACATTGAGAAGGGCAGAAATCGAATTGGCCCACATTTTTTTAGTCTAGAAAGTCATGCGATATGATGGACGAAGGAAGACGCTGTGACGACAGCCATATCGATCTGTGTAATCGTGGCGGATAGGTTCTGGTCTTGATGGTGCTAACCTATCCTCAGAACTCTGAGAACTGGAAGCGGAGATGGCGAGGTATGAATGCCCGTAGAAGGAAGCCATCTGACGTGCCTCATAGGCCCAGTCGAGCAGGTCATCTTGCACGATGCAAATGGCGTCGATTCATAAGTCCTAGGGCACGCGTGACGGTAATGGCGTCTCGAAAAAGGGTAGGCATCTCACCGAGAGGGATTCTTTGCTTGCGCTGCTCGATATTACTTTGCTTGGTCCTGTACTCTGCATTTTCCCCCCACCGATA